AAACGTGTAGTAAAGAGCTACATAAGAAAATGTGTAAAATGTATTCGATATACAGCATCGGCAAGTAAACAAAAAATGGGGATACTACCGAGAGCCCGAGTAACAGAGTCATTTCCGTTTACTCATACTGGGGTCGATTATGCAGGACCCATAAAAGTGAGAACAATGAAAGGAAGAGGGCATAAATCGTACAAAGGATATATTGCAGTTTTTGTGTGTCTGGCGACAAAAGCTATACACCTTGAATTAGTAGGAGACTTGTCCACAGAAAGTTTCATAGCGGCATTACGGCGGTTTATGGCAAGAAGAGGCCCAGTATCACATATATACAGCGATAACGCTACAAACTTTGTGGGAGCAGCTAATTTCTTATACAAGGAGCTGTTAGAAATAACCCAATCAGACACATTTCAAAGCAGTGTGACAGCTATGGGAACGCAATGGCATTTTATTCCCCCATCGTCGCCACATTTCGGCGGTATTTGGGAAGCAGGAGTAAAATCAATGAAACACCACTTACACAGGGTAATAGGAGACCAAACATTAACTTACGAAGAATTATCTACATTTTTATATCAAACGGAAGCCTGTTTAAATTCTAGACCATTGTGTGCACAAAGTGAAGACATAAATGATAATGTAGTGCTAACACCAAGTCATTTTTTGATTGGACGAGAAGCAGTAGGAATACCTGATCCACTGTCTAACATTAATACGGATTTGTTAAATAGATGGAAAAATATTCAAAAAATGAAAAGAGACTTCTGGAAAAGTTGGACTCGTGATTATTTACAACAGTTACAACAAAGATACAAATGGAAAACAACGGAGAATAATATATCAATTGGAACGTTAGTACTTATGAAAGAAGATAATATTAATCCTAGCAATTGGCCACTTGCGAAAGTCAAGGAAATACATAAAGGCAATGATGGTTTAGTTAGAGTAGTTACTCTTAAAAAATCATCAGGCGCCATTCAGAAACGGTCGATACACACGCTCATTCCGTTGCCTATAAATGCGGACCTGAGTCATCAATCGCAAACCAAAGTTAATACGAATATTACTACATGCTATAGTAATAAGAGTCCGAGGTCTTGTAGAGGCACGTCAAAATGGCTATTATGCTTACTAATAATGTTACAATTGTTCGGTACTATGATTGCTACACAGACATATACCGTGAAGAATTTGTCTCCAGGATTTTATGTTGAAAACATAGGAACCGCAAACATAGATCGAGGCATGTTTCGTATAGAGACGGTATATAAGAAAGAGCGACTGAATGAGGATTACATTAGGATAGAAAGTGCATTATCCAAGTTTAAGCAACTTTGTGACAAGGCGGACGTTGCAACGACGGATACACATTGTAATCAATTTTATCATCATTTACTGGAGCAAAAGACAAAATATGAACGCATCAAAGAATATTTTACAGAGTTTCATGAAACGCGAAGGAGAAGGGGTTTGCTGGGGAATTTTTTAACCTCAGTGTTTGGTGTAAATGACGAGATATACAGAGACATAGATTCGTTAAACTCAAACCAACAAAAATTGATTGAAGCATCTAGTCACCAAACTAAAATCATGATATCGGCTATTTCCCAAGTAAATGGTACTGAAGAAAGAATAAGACATAAACTAGAAGGATTTCAAACAAAACTGTCACAAGTAATAGAGCGCATAAATAGCTATGACTATTGGTACATTAAAACTAATCACAATGATATAAAGATTCAGATTTTGCAAACGTTCCAAGTAGCCAATAATTACATTGACGAAATTTTAAACTACTACAATGGGTTATTAGAAGTATACTTAACAAAGGCTAGCGTGTATAGTGTCTTGCCACCCAAAAATGTTAGTGAATTAATATTTTCCGCAAATAGGAAGATGCCATCCAACATTAGAATAGTCCAAGAACTATTATTAGATACAAGGATAGTCGAGAATATGACTCATATACAAGTACACGCTTATTTTCCAATTAAAGATATTACAAAGTATACTTTAATTCATGTTACACCAGTACCTAAGAAGAATATGAACAATACGTTCGAAAGCATAGAAGTATCGAGAGCATTTTTAGCAATTGATTACAATAATGAATTATACTTCGAACTGGACCACGAAGAATTCAAAGAGTGTATACAAAGGCACGAACAGTTTCTTTGCTTCCCTGGAGTGGTGAAAAACATGCAATTAAATGAAAATTGCATCGTTGACCAATTATTCAAAAATCAAACTAACACTAAATGTCCTACCCATATCTTTGAAATGTCAAGTAATATAATTTGGAAACAGCTATGCATGCAAAACTCATGGTTGTTTATAACAAAAACTAGTAGCACTATATCCATAGTTTGTGATAGTAAGCGAGAAGAAATAACCATTCAAGACGTAGGAGTAATAAAAATCGCTGACAATTGTATCATAAAATCCGTTAACAACAGACTCGCTGCTAAGAGAACGTTATCAATTCAGGTAGCAGAGTCCTTTTCAAAACAACTAAATTTTAGTATATACATATATATATCAAATCGAAGTAAAAAACTAAATATATCTAAGGAGGCTGTAATAGAAAGTTCCAATGACTTTTATCAGCACTTAATAAATGAAGAGTCTGGATTGGAAAATAGAACTTAACGATAACATATGGAAGGACATTCAATCTCACACATACTTAGTGAGCTGCGTATCATCAATAATATTGATGACAATTATAATTATAGTTGTTTGTTATGGTCCCAGGATAGTTACGTGTACGAAAACAGGAACACATCGACTTCGACAACACCCTAAATCATCAAAAGCTGATCCGCCACACCCACAACGTGCACCAGATCAAGGCAACAACCAGCCATCTACATGGAACGCCATCTACAGCCAGCCGAACCAACTACTGAAGCCTCCCAGGAAGCAGCCGGAGAACCAGGACGCAGCCAAGGATGACTCCATAGAACTATATCAAATGGAGTTGCCTGTTCCTCGGAGAGGGCAGAATGTTCACACATGAACGTGCCATTTCAGCGAGATAATCCTACGTGATTAAAATAAGGAAAACATATTACTTATTAAATATATAAAAACTAATAAAACATCACGTAATCACGTAAGGTATATAGCACTGAGATGGTACATTACACGCATAGCACACAATCATAATGTGGTATGTGTGTACATAGGATAAGTTTAGTATATAAGATCATGTAGATTAAGCAATAAAGCAGTCATTAAGTTGATTCCGACTTTGACTCACTACCCTTCCTCCACCTCTCACTGTGGCCAAGACACCTTTAGCCATCAACCGATCTGTCGTGTGAGTCTGCTCGACAGGCAGTGAGAAAACCATCACCACCATACCCCATTCCTACCCACATTCCGTCTGCCATCATAGGTCTCAGTTGGCAGATATCCTGCACCTATCTATATAAGTATATATAAATACGTATAGTAGGGCTAGGGTCTAGGGACTGTAGGGCTAGGGCATTAGGCGCGTACGAAGAGTAGGTCTGTATCACAGCATACCACAGTGTACCACTATAGTACGTGCCTTAGGTTAAGGGCTTGGTAGTAGGTGCGTAGAAGTGCTGGTCTGTATCACAGTATACCACAGAGTACCAAGCCTATACGCATTGTACGCTAGGCAAATATAGGATAGAACTTAGACTACATAGGTTATTGGGCTTAGGGGATCCAGGATAGGATATTGTAAGTGTTAGATTATCTAGGATAGTGTAGGATAACGTTAGCTAGTAGTACTTAGGATTAGGTATTTAGTCCTGTACAGCGCGATCTTAGCGTAAGGCTATTATCACGCTGTACATTGTTTAAAAAATGCCTTCGAACTTTGAGCTTCGAACATCCTGTGACACATCATCACCCTATAAGTGCTAACTCTAAGCGGATTAGTGATTTCAAACTTTTAATTAGAAAATAAAAGTACGGGTTTTCTCACGGTGTTTTCCTTCAACGAGGAGAAAAGAAGAGAAGAGGTGTGTGTGAAAGTACTAATAAGTTTTGACTGCACGGTTGGCGCGGTGGCTAGGTAAGAGACTGACGCGCAACGTGTCGCGGGTTCGATCCCTGCACGGAACAGCTCATGTGTGATCTTACAAATTATTGTTCTGGGTCTAGGTGTGATCTGTATGGGAAATTTTATGTTTGCAAACGCTCCCAAAATACAAGAAAATCCTGATGTGGGGTAACGTTTTATAGGTAAAAAAAAACAATAACAAAAAGAAAACTTCGGAAATAGACACATTCGTACATGCCAGGTTTTCAAAACGCACCCTTATGCATGACAAACGGGCGCGTTTACCTCTGGGTCGCCACAACGCTATTACGAGACGATTTTTTTATTTTAAGACAAATATGAATGGTTTTAAAATTTAAAACCTCTAAAATCTCAAACTGAAATTTCACAATTCTCTGTTGAATCAAAGAATTATAATATTTTGGTTCATTATAATTAATCATAATACTATTAGGCTCAATACCATCTTGTTTCTGAAACCTAAAGACAAAGGAGAAATAATTCTCCTTAACTTTAGCAAATTAGTGCTGTCATGCACTTTGACTGTTAGAAAATCTATTCTTAGTCATTCGATTTTGAACCTTCAACCGCAGACCATAAATTTACAATTATATTTAGACTAATCGTGGTTGAATATATCAACTAATAACGAATACAGAGAGATTTATATCTATCATCTATCAGATTAATATATATCAGCTGCCAAAATGTAAGATGAGAAAGGATTTCAAGGACAATGGAATATTTTCTGAACTGAATAGATAATAACGTATCTAAGTGCTTTAATCGCTTGAAAGTTTTCTTCATTTGTAATAAAATTTCGTTAGGTTAAAACTCTCAAGCGCGAGAAGCGGGTCTTCTTGCGCATGAGAGTTCGGATTTGAATCTTGGCAAGTACCCATGTGGTTTTTTGCAAGTCATAATGTTCTTTCTAACTGTATTTAGACACCATTGACAAAAGATGAAGGTAAACGTCGTGAGGAAACCTGGACTTAAATTTCTAAAAAGAAGTTTGAAAACATCAACCCGCCGTAAACAATCGTGGTGGTTCACACTTAAACCTTCTCCATGTGAGAAGAGGCCTTTGCTCAGCCATGGGCATTTAAAGGGCGATTTTGTAATAATGGGAAGACGAGTTAGTAGGTATCACACATATTTATTAAAATATGATAATTCACCAGTTGTGAAACTCATTCAATTCTAAGATTTTAAAAGTTATTTATTAATACTAAAATAACAGAACTTTTTTTTTTAATATTCCCCCCATTAGGATTTTCTCTTTTGTGTCGTGGGTGTGTTAACAAACATACAATTTCACATACACATCACACCCAGACCCGAAACAACAATTTGCGGATCACACAATGTGTTGTTCTGTGCGGGAATCGAACCCGCGACACGCGACACTGTAGCCAGTTGCCCAGCCACCGCGCCAACCGTGCAGTCAAACATTATAATGGAAAGTATATTTTAGAACCAGAGTTTGTGCTTTAATTTTCCATTATCAATAGGTAATAAGTAACACAAAAAATCACATTTATATCAATAGAAAACCCATGTAGTTCTGCCCCTGCAAAGAAATTGTTAGCAATAAGTCGTACATTTACAGTTATAGTTTCAGAAGGCAGCCAGGCAAGCAAATTGAATACCAAGTAATTGAAAATCAATTGATCGACAGCGACAAATATTACACGCCGCTTTATTGAAATTCAGCTATAGGATTAGGGTTGAGTATATGGATCAAAGAAACTACATATTATGGAAAAAAGGTTTTTAAAAACAAATATTAATATAAATATTGGTTACTAGCTTCTCTCGCGCGGTTTCATCCGCTGCTCGGCTCCATTTAATCGTAGCGTGATGTTTTGTAGCTTATAGCACTCAGGAACATTGTAGCTATCTATCAGTAAAAGAATTTTCACAATCCGACCAGCGAGCGGTTCCAATGATTACCCCCTACATACAAACTTACAAATTTATAATATTAGTATAGATAGTATAGATTAATGTATAAACAATAACTTTTAAACGGCCCAGAGCAGGAGAAGGAACGAGGGGTTTTAAGTCAGTAAGAGTCTGACACTCCCTCCAGCCCGGCCCTGGGCGGGAGAAATCATTTGATAATTTTCCCGTCACAAAAAAACGAGTCTGACACACCATCTAGCCTTGATGACATTCACCCTTCGAAAAAAAACTAATCTGAAATATGTAATTGGATGTGGATTTTTTTATTTACTGATCTATTCTAACATCTTAAAGAGACAACGTTTATGAGTTGCTGCCATTGTTATACTAATGTTATTACGGGATTAACTGAACTATATATGTTGTAACTTATATATGTGATACAAATGTATCATGAACTTACTGCGTACGTTACTATGATGATATGTATGATACGTTTTTAACTAAATTTGATAAAACCCAACTAAAGAATATTCTCTGCAAAAAACAGCAGGTACATTGCGGCTTCACCTAAGTTTCAAATCAAGTTTAATTTAAATGCATTTTATTATATTTCTAATTCAATTGCAGTATTTGTGTAGTATTTATTAACACTTAATTATGTTTTTGTGAAACTAATTATTAAAAGCCAAGATATTAGTTACATTGTTTTTCATTAAGTAAACTGCTCTTTTTGCGGATTTGCTTTTTTAGGGACTTGAATTGAAACTCAAATCAGCCCGGCTAATAAGTACCCTGTAATGGGTCTGATAAAAACTTTAGATAATTTAATAATATTAATATATAAGATTAGTAACATTAATTTCAAATTAAAATTATTTAATCATCTGACAAGTATTACTTCGGGATTATAAAGGATCGTGTTACTGTTAGATAGTACTCGATGCCCCACCACTGCAACTAGCTAAAAACTTTTTTGGACAGAATACATATATCTGACATAAGATTGTCAGTCAAGTAAATGTGCCGCAGCCCCGTTCTGTCATATCTTACTTATCATTATAAATGCAAAAGTTACGATGTTTGGATGTTTGTTACTCAATCACGCTAAAATGGATCTGGATGAAATTTGGCACAGGCATGAATTTTATTTTTATAAGATTACCACGTGGGCGAAGCCGCAAGCGGAAGCTAGTAAAGTAATATGTTGATTTTCCCTGCCCAAAATAAAAAAAGAACTCGTACAAATTACTAATAAAATATGTACGTATAGAAGGTGAAGTTGAATATTTATTTTCAACAAATAACATGATGATTTTAATTGACAATTGATATTATAACTTTTTTTCAGGACTTGTGACCTTCAGCGACGGCAGTAACGGCTTCCCTCGTAACGAAGGCTTCTTTCAGGACTGTCGGCTAGTGCGTCGCAAGCGCTGCCCTGAAGTTGTCCAGCGTGCCCAGAAGGTGGCCTACATGGCGCGAGCCCAGTGCCAACAGATGTAGAACCCTATTGTATTTACTGCTGAAAATAGTTTTTCAATATTTGCGAAGAATTAAAATAGAGATGTTTAAATGTTTCTGCAGTATTTTCTTTAAATTTTATATTGTTTTCAAATGGCTTCTTAATTTTAATTAAAAATCTTAATTTTACTTTTAAAGTTCCATTTAATCTAGTTAAATTTGTTTCGCTGCTATTGCTAACAATATTTGTGTAAGAAGAGCAATTTGAAAAGTAATAGTTTATGTCATTTATCTACGAACTTAGTGAAGCTCTTTAATTTGCCCTCTCAGTAACATTGATTCTGATTTGTATGTTTTCGTGGGTAATGCCAACCAAGATCTGCCGAATGGAAAATCCTACTTATTTTCTTCTTTCAGAGTTATAGGTAAGCTAAGTAAGGACAATATTTTAAACCATTATAATTTAAAACATATATTTAATATCATAGAAACTTCTTCTCCTTTAAATGATACGTCGGCAAACGACCATTAGGATAACCTGATGCTAAGCAAGCGGCGCCGCCCATGGACATGGTTTTAAGGATAAGCAGCATTGGAGATTTGGGAAGAATTGGAATTGGGGAGCGAAAGGGGAAGGACAAGAATCTGGCCTCCTGTAAATTCATTCACATGACGGAACACAATGCTACGGTTGTTTTACGATTCGATACGATCGATTTTCCGCATGGTGTCACTCCGACCTAGTTAGTCCATTCGTATCGAAGCTCAATAGCTCTCTCATAATATATAAAATATTAAACCTTGAGTTATTGTCGAGACTTTTTTTACTTTGAAGTTACTTTATATTATACAAGTACTTAATTACTTTGCCCTTATGGCTTATTGCTTTAGACTTTTCAGTAGAAACATTATGTGAACTGCAAAAATCTGAAATTCTCTTCCCAAGTCGTTGTTCCTAGAGACGTAAGATTTAGCGATTTAAGGATTGAAATAGGAATTTTTTGAGGTTGCGTGTTCCACCTTAGACCACATCATAGCTTTCCATCAGGCCTGAGAGAGGCGAAACGCACTCAAAATACTAATTAAAAAAACTATCACTTTATGCCATTTGAGGAGAGCTGAACATTTATTCCTATTCAATACTCTGCTAAGCACAGAGCCAGTAGTAGATGAAAATTGTTTAGAACCATCTAACATTAATTAACTCTGTCTTATGCAGAGCGTAAAGGGATAGTCAAAACAATAAAACACAACACTACGAATATAATAAAATATTTTATTAAGACATTTACAACGCCTCTAAAGAGAGCTACCATAACATTTTACCTATATTTAGAATAAATTAATGTACATTATTTAGTACTTTTGTTAATTTGATTTCAGTTTTCTCTTGGCTATAGTTTCCTCGTCATCAAGACACTGGCCGTACCTTACTTCCATGCACTTGCTTCCCTGAAAACAAAAGAAAATTATATTAGATACGTGACTTTGTCGAGGTTGTTCGGATTTTTATTGAGTTGAGAATATATTTATATTACTGGACCTTACAGAAAATTTTACCAATTTTACTTCAAGTTAAAAGGTATGTTAACGTTTGGTAAAATTAAAAGTTCAGTTTATTTATGTATGTGTACATAATAATAATATTATGTTGATTATGTTATTAAAAATGATTTTTAGTAATTAGGAAAAAGTGGTTTATTGATCAAAACTAATATTATATTAAAACTAATACTATAAATGCGAAAATAATTCTGTCTGTCTGTCTCTCTTTTCTTCACGCTTAAACGACTGAATCGATTTCTGTGAAATTTGGTACAGACGTAGTTTGGAACTCGAAAAAGGACAAAGGATAGCATTTATACCAAAAATTTTAAGTCACTATTCTACGCGAACTGAGTCGCGGGCAAAAGCTAGTCTAAACGAACATTATAAAGGGGTAAAATTTGTAATTTTGTATGTAGGGGTAATCTTTGGAACCACTGGTCGGATTGCCAACATTCTTTTACTGGTAGATAGCTACAATGTTCCTCAGTGCTTACAGACTATAAAACATCACGCTACAATCAAATAGAGCCGAGCAGCGGGTGATACCGAGTGAGAGTAGGTAGTATTTTATAAATGAACAATAGACTAAAAGATATTCAACTTAATGTAGATAAAAATAATATTTGATGAGAAACTCAAAAATATAAAAATGTTTTTTTTTCCCATTTTGTATTGTAGAGTAGAACGTTAAAGTGTGATTTTAAATTATTGAAGTGTGATTAGAAAGCTGTGTCCTATTAGATGCTTTTTTATTTTTTTTTACTAAATATCAGTTTGACAGTATAATAAATAATTTCTAATGGCTTCGTCGACTCATAATAACGAACGCAAAATTTCTGGGAACCATTTTTAATTAAGAGCTGCTATAAATTTCTATGTTAAAAGGTTTTGTGGCTGAAAAGAACGGACTCATAGACTAGTATTTGGCCTCGTGTGAAATTTAAATTTTCTGTATTATGGCAGAATCATAAAATTGATAAGGTATTCTTTTGATGAATTAGAATATAATTACGAAGTATTGGTAAATATTATTGTTAAATTATTTATTCCATACTAGCGACGCCCCGGCTTCGAGTGAGAGTGCAGAGCAGAGCGCAATGCTGATGCGAAATTTATCCACTATTTAATGGATGTTGTTACATATTAACTTTCCTAATGAAATGAAAAATCAGTTGTATAGTTTAAAAGATAGGTACAGAGAAACCGATTTTTTATACTATGTGGTGATTTTAACAGTTTCCAAAGAAGATGTCAGTTTGTTCTGAAGAGGAACTAAGTATTTGCTTCTCAATTTTGAATCGTTTACTGTTAAAAGTTATACATATTATTTTACCCAGAACTTATACCAGTATCTTCGTGATTTCTGAAACATTCGGATTTATTCGAACCTAAAACATTTTGTTAAAACAGCTGCTATAGCTGTTTCATGTTATTTTATAATTATACATTACTTTGCTTTTTATTCTTATTTCCTTTTAACTATTATGTAGAAGGTAGCCATTTCACTGTAATTAGACGTACTAAATGTCACCATAACTAAATTTTTTATAATAATATGGAAAAAAAGCATTTTCCGCCACTATCATTTGATAATCACAAATTATGTTTTTTAATTTTATGTTCTGATACCATCTTAATGGTTCTTAACCGTGGTGTTTATTTCGGATAGTAAAATAGTTGAATGGCCGTATTTACTGTATCTTGATCGTTCTTTAAACTGGTTTTTTCACTTCTGCCATTATCTACTAATCACTCTTGAGTAACCATGCCTGGTTACGTGAGCAATGACCCATTGTTTCTTTGATATTTGATAGTGAGCTTTATACACAATACGTTTATGGATCAAAAATAATTGACAAAACGTTAAATTCAGTTTTGAGGTTTCACGAAGAAAACATTTTTAACTGCTTTCTTGAGACCACTTCTTAAAAGACCCACCTACAGCTAATTCCAGGAAAAATGTTATTGTATTTTATAGTACTTTATATTAGGTAAAATATAAAATCCATTTTCCAGGTAGGACTCACTGAATTGTTTACAAATAAACCCATTAAAGGTTAATTTTTAATGTATACTCGTAAAAATTTTTAATAATTGGGTTTAAAGTATTCACTTGAACCAAACATAAGCTTTTTTCAACAAATTGACGAAAGAGATCAAAACAAAAAACAAAAATAGGTCACATTAAAATAACAGACGACTCAAATAATTAAAATCCGTAAGAGCTACACAGCGATTGTATAATAAATCAAACATCAGTTTTCGTGATAACCTCCACTCAAACGTATTGACACAAAATGGCCGACTGACACAAAAAAAGCGGACGAAACGGAACTTTCTTCACAAACACGAGACAAGACGCTTCACACTTAGTATTGACACAATACTTTCAACTTCCCTACTTAGTTACTTAAGAAAGTAAAATGATCCATGACGTAACGTAACTGACTGTACAATCTACAGCCAGCGCTAACTTTCCCTCGGAAGCTTGCGTAACATCTCACGTAACTATAACTTCTTATTAATCTTTGGTTTAAATTTATTTATTATACGTAAAATTCGTTTTAGGTTCGCACTTTGGTCAGTTTCGAAGGGCTTATTTGAAATGGTTGCATAATGATGTGTGAGTTTTTATAGCTTAGTTACACGAATGTGATGTGCGTGTTTGAATGGACAGTGAGGGCTTTGCGTGGTATAGCGAGAAGATAAAATAATTTAACACTTTTAGCTGTTCTTTCACAATCTCTAAATAGTCCCAATGTGCCAGATACATTTGAATAGAGTATGAACAATGTATGTGACATAAGTTTATGGGGAATTTGTTATTATAAAGTTGATGAAACATGCCCTTAGACATCTTGGTAACCAAAAGTGTAATATAATTTTCTGTGTATCACATTTTCATGCAACTTCAAGTTCTGTCTTTATATCAAACGTCTAGATCGGTCTTCAAATGATGTTCATTAGAAACTGATGCTATCGAAACTAATTATATTCCTAACTAATAAAAATCATCGAATCAATCAAGACTTAAAGATTAACCTGGCTCTATTTTCTTCTATATAGAAGTTAATAAAATAAATTTGTTCTTTACATTACACTTTAAGGAACTGTTAATCTGACTAAGAACGAAGGCTAAGTTCACTCACTTTTAGTTAAAATATTCACTTTGTTACATAAAACCTATCCTATGAACAGTGTTTTGTGCATGAAGTCTCAAATAAATAAATAAATAAAATATACAAAAGTCAACCAACCTTAGCAATATACGCCTTCATGTAAAAGTTCCCGAAGAGGATGATGAAGGAAATCATGTATATAATGAGAACGTAGTGCATCCATAGAGGGAATTCACAACCAGTCCTGATGCCGTTGATACCAAGGAGAAGAGCGCAGGTGAACTGGATCTGAAATAAGTAAGACAATTATATTATTAATTTATTTAAGTTTTATACACGTATAGTTGTATACATAGGTGGCTTTAATGCCGTTGGCATTATCTACTAGTCTGATATGAACTTTTGGATGATAAAGAGACGAGTAAAACGGATTGTGTTAAAGAAAATTTTTAGTAATATGGAAATACTTTGGTCATTTAGTGGAGGTGGACATTTCAAAGGCAACACCAATTTTTCGACAGTTATTTTATATGTCCTATGTTATAAGGAATGCGGTGAGTAAAATTTTCTTAATACAAAAACATCCAATATTGTTTACTGGTACAATCGTTGAATCGATTTTCTGTTTGGTAGACGTGCTCATGACCATTCAACCGGATTTTCCGAAAGTTATCGACGTAATCGAGAAACTCAACAAACCATAGATTTAAAGATCAATCGTAGCATGTAGGTCAATGAGCAAAAAGGGTACTACAATTTTTTATTTTCATGAAGGCTTATGTATTGTATATGCCTTTGATATTTCATATAAGTAGAAAACAATAGAATTTCAATACATCATATTATTATGAAAGACGTATTGTAGTACTTTCGACATATAAACGAAGTTATCCTTTTTTCGAGTATTATTTTATTGCTTATAGAATATTTTATGAGTATAAGCAGTCTTTGACTTTATGTTTGGTAACTAGTTCAGAATATCCTTGTTTTGTCTACGAATTATAATATAACAATATTACTATACTTGGCAGAATAAAATGGTCTTGAAGCTGACACGATAGTGGTCACGATAATGCTGTAATTATATCAATATTGATCTTTATGGATCTTGTTATTCGGTACAGTTTCATTTAATTTGTCATAGGCGTAAGCAATTACGTGAAAAAAAGGATAGATAAAAGACTAAAAATATGACTATTAATAGACTATAATTTTTAAAATTTTATCCAAACATACTGTTTTTCATAAAAATATGAAATCTGTAAGTGGAGGATTTTTATTTATTTATTTATTATTTTTCATTTAAGATTATGCAGGTTTACAATTTATTAGAAAAAAGCTTCACTCTAGAAAAACAGACTGTTTTCAACAGTTTGTCTGTGGACACAGATGAGTCAAGATATTTAAGTGTGTTATTGGTACAAATTAGCTGAACCATTGAAATTTCAAAAACTGCTTCAGGCGAGGACCCTCCCCATAGCCAGTGCAGATAACACAAAAGCCGAAGCCTTTATTCAAATATTATTATTTTAATTAAATTAAAAATCAATATCTACCGGAAATACAGACCTTATCTATATAAGTATAAAGTTTGAAATAAGTAATTATTATGCTTCGTTCATGGCTTATTATTATTATTACGTAACAGAAAGTATTTCATAACATTGAAAGAAAACAAACGCTATATAAACACGCAATGGCATGCGATGGCGTGACTAGATAAAAACTTATATACAAATATGTACATAAAGTCCAAACATTTACCATTAACAAACGTATTATATTTAGGCATGGAATAAATTATATTAATAGGAGATCGTGTATAAATTAATCTTTCGAACACTTGGTATTCGTAGACACAAGTATTTGCGTTGTGTTCGCTGTGTGAGCGAGGTTATATAAGAGGCCTAATTTTTTCATCACTATTACTATGCCCAAAAACCTCCAATCTTTTATACCTAACCACAAAATGGCGGTAACGCATTTGGAACTTCTGCGTTGTTGCGGGTGTGGGCAGGCTCATGGGCGACCCTAATGGCTTACCATCATAACTTAAATGATAAAAATATGAACAGTTCGAGGATGACAAATCAATCTAGATAGGTTTTATTTTCATTTCAACAAATCCTACTAATATTATAAACGCGAAAGTTTTTAAGTATAAAAAGACGGTTGTTACTCTTTATTGCAAAAACTACAGAACGGTTCTGGATAAAATTTGACATAGAGATAGATATTATAGTCTGAAGTAATTACTTGATTACTTTTAAGTTTATAAATACCTGGTTGCTTTCAGATATTGCTGACAAAGCCACTAGCAGAAACCAGTACGGAACAATATATCAGTATTATCCATTTACGCAAATTGAATGTAGTTATTTTCCTTTAAACTTCACAGTTTTGGTAGCAAGGAAAGTAACGTGCCAGATGTCTTGTTTTACTTGAACTAGTAAATATTTAAACAAAAAGGATACTGAGCACAGAGAAATGTTTCTGAAACTAACACGTGCGTGGTAGGTAAACCAACAAAGTAAGATTTTGTTCAAACATTTAATATTAAACAGTATTTTTTCATCCTAGACAAACGTTTCATTTTTTTAGAAAATCAAAACGCACGATTCAATGTGAACATTTTTTTAAGAGAAATTATTCTAATGACTTCTTACACCCTTTTGTGAGGGGAAATCATCAAATGACTTCTCCCAGTCAGGGCCGGGCGGGAGGGAGTGTCAGACTCTTACTGACTAAAAACCCCCCTGTTCCTTCTCCTGCTCTGTGCCGAGATCGCGGTACCTCATTGCGCTTACCCCGCAACCCCGGCAGACTTCTTACACCCTTGGCAGGCAAGAGGGACAGTCAATCTTAAACTGTCTAAAAATCACATCATTCCATGTTCACGAATGCTGCATTATAGGGCTTGCATAATAAATGTTTACTCTAGAAAATGTGAATGCTTTTATTTCTCGCTTGTGGGGAGCTTGGGAGATAAAGGCTTGGGGCTATCACGAAATTCATGGCTTAACTAAAACAACTACATTCTATTCCACACTTACAAAGAAAACACAACCAACTTTGCCGGGCAGAAAAAATATTTTTTTTTGTTGCTAACACATATACATATATATAGTGTCTTATTTTTCATTACTGTATAAATTTTATTGTAATGATGACTAGGACTGGTAGTGCAATCAAAAATTGAGCGCATTATTAATTACACAAACTAATTTTAATGCTTTTTTAAAAAACGTAAATATTATAAGTATATATTACCCAAAAAACTGAACTCTTTATTTTATTTTTCACGCCGTTCCAAAAAAATATTATAAATTAATTTGTAAGTTGTTACGAGTATATAACATGGAACTACAAAAATAACTTGTACGCTTCTCAATGAAGCATGTACCTTATTTTTTATCAGAAGACGTATCTGTCTATATAGTATTTTATACACTTTCATATTCATATACAATCAACGTGCAACGAATCGGATAATCCTATTAATAAAAACTGCCAAATTTCCCTTCCGTGTAGGTTTTGTAGATTTTTGTTCACAAAAACTGAGCGTCATATTCAGCCGCAATTTTATGCTCGACGTTACTAAAAATAAACTACAAAATGTTTGTTCAAAATAAACATCTACCAAAACCAATATCCAGTTGCTATGTGTACCTGGAATCTAGTTTTTTGAACCTATAAAAATATTTTAGGTTCGTTTTAGGATTAGAAAAATATTATATTTTTATTTATTTCCTAACATAACATATTTAGATGAGGGGACTGAACGCCACCACTATTCTCACCAGTCAACCAAAAACTTCAGACTATTTAATGTTACTTGAAGAAAATTATTGGTGAAAATCCTCTTTTGTCAAACACAAATAAAATCACATTTTACCTTCTCTTACTCCTAAACCTCTTTAAACAAAAAGCAGTCCAATCCATCATACAGCCCTATCTTAATTGCTATAAAGTCCATAATCGCTAGTTAACTCACCAGCTGCATGATAGTCAGGTATTTCTTCCACCAAAGGTACTTGCTGACGGCTGGGCCGAAGACGGAGAGTCCATAGTACGTGTACATGAGCACGTGGATACCACTGTTAACCATGGCAGGAAGGAAAGCTGGAAAGAAAATTCCATGTTAAAAATACAATCAAAATACTCTTATTTAACTATGTAGTTGGATGAAAGGTGGTCTAAAAATAGCAGTTTGTAAAAGTAAGTCGAAAGTCAAAATTATTTATTCCAACGAAGGACTGATTTTTCAATTGTTAGAAAAAACTTATAATACTTATAAGAAAACAATCACATTCAGTTTTTTTGGAGATGTAAACATCATACGATTTCTTCTCTTTCTCCTACTTTTGAAACCTACGCACGATAGACAGTCAGACTCTTACTGATTTAAAACCATTCCGCCTTCGCCATCTTTTCCATGGCCATGGAGACCATGTGTAGAGTTCTAATTTTATTAATCCCAAAAAATAGAAAACACTGTTCGATTTTTTTTAACCAAAAACCGACATTGTTAAGTTTTTGTACTACTTTTTAACTCGTTAGAGGACTTCTTTAATTTTAGAATAATTCTAAAATTAAAATAAATCGTAGTCGCATACAAGCTTAAAAAAATACACACAATCTTAAACTTATTTCTTTTACAAAGAAGACTTGTAAATTAGCTTAAAAGTTAAAGAATTAAGTAAATCGAATATTCAAAATCAAATTGCTTCTTTTATTTGTAAAAATATACACTGATCACCACAGTTTTAACAAGATAAGGGTCTCTTTATAGTAGATAAACTTCAAAATAGTCATTTCCTTTCACAAATAAATGTAATGAAAGGAGGTTTTAATGTATCAAACTTATTTATGCAAATCTATTCATTACATCTTAGACGTAACACATGCTAATAAATTAGACCTTATCCAAGTTCAAGTCTAGAAATTGGGAATTGAGAAAAACAGTTTGGAATGAAAATGTTTTAATCATCATCATCATCAGTCTATAAGTGCCCACTGCTGAGCAAAGGCCTCTTCTCATCTCAAACGGAGAAGGTATGTTTCAATCAAGGCGGAATGGAGAATTCCAACTTATAATTAGAAAATGTAAGTCCAGGTTTTCTGCCGATACCCGAGCGTAGGTTGCATAGCGTTCCGCGCGCGCCTCAAAGAGCCAATAGAGCGCCACAGACGGGGTCCTATAGGGCTGATGTTCAGCCGGGGTTGCGGGATAAGCGCAATAAGTCACCGCGGCCTCGGCCCAGAGCAGGAGAAGAAACGGAAGGGGGAGGAGTTAATATAACACAATAACACTCTGATACTCCCTCCCACCCGACACTGGGCAGGAGAAGTCATTTGATGATTTTCCCCTCACAAATAAAGAAGGTTTCCTCCAGATGTTTTCTTTCACCTCAATTATCATAGAAAGTTCATAATGACTCGGAAAAAGTCACAATTTCAATTAATTAACTTCAATCACAGTTCGAATCGAATTATGGAAGGAATTAAGTCATCCGACATAATTATTCTTGTCGTGAAGTCCTTAACAAATATTTTATTTGCAAAATTAAATTTCATATGCCCTTCGGTTTGTTGGACATGTGTCACGGCTAATATTATATATTATGTATTAAATATATTTATTTTGCAAATATTTTCTTACGCGGAAATATGTCAACCTCATTGTAAAATGTATGTCATCGTTGATTAAATACTTTTTTATAATTAGATGTCAAACAACTCTTGTTGTGTGCTTACGGCCCACAAACTTTATAATTACTTTTCTAGAATTTTCCATGTTTTTGTATCATAAAATTTACTTTTGAAATCATCACAAAGTATCATCTAACGCAGTGCATTTACTTAATATTGCATTAAAAGATTCTTTTCATTAACAGTAATTATTATTATAGTTTTTTTTCTAAACCTAAATAAGGATTTACTATAGCATACACTGCTTCTGAAAATAACAAGTTCCAACCAAAACAATACTTTTTCAACAAACATATTTAATATTTTTTTTAACAAATTTAAGATATAAATAGAAAGGCATATTACAAAGATGGCCTACGCATAGAAAGGTAACTTTTTTAGGGAAAAATAATATTTTACCGTCTCTTTCCTATTAATCAATTATTTTTTGTTATTAGCAACCCAATTTTAGGTTAGACATCTGGTGCCAAAAAACTATAAATAAAAAAAAACGTAGCGCTTTGTAGGTAATTGTGCTCATCGTGTCTTTGACCTTTTTTTGCTACAGACCGACAAATTAATGTAACAGATGAGTAACAAAAGTAAATGGGACAGTTATCATGACGTGATGCAAGTTAAGCCCTAGATTTATTTCAGTACCGCCGCTAATACCCTAAGCCTGTTACAAGCAATGCTTTCCTCAAATTGAACATTTCAAACATTAATTTGTGTTCCGTTTCATTTGGAGATATTGTTTTGTTTTAAAATCTTTGTTTATGTAATTTGTATTTTTTATAAAACGTAATGTAAAGGTTTTCGATGGATTTCTTAGGTTATTTTTGATAAGCTATGATTATTGATCGACCTCTTCAAAAGAGGCTAGATTTTTAATGTATACTTTCTACGAAGTTTGTAACTTTTTTTATGTATAATTTTTTGTAGTGTAGGACCATCTTTGGAAAACGATCTGAAGTTTCTGATGTCTTTGTATTTTCAACTAACACGATTTTTAATACAATTTTTATAATATAAATAGGTAGAATTTAAAACGAGTGCCTTGAAATTATTTTACCAGCGAAATACAAAGCCAGGATAAATATTATTTGACAAATTAAATGATAAAAGTCTTTGTAATATCACTTCAAATAATATTTAATGCAAATTCACGTCTTATTTTGAAAATGAAAGACGTTCTTAAATGTTTTATTGTATAAGAATAAGCTGGTTATATGCTGAATGTATTTTTGAATGAAAAATGAAATTATTATTTCGAATGTTTCTGATTTTAAATCCTATTTGCATTGCACGTCCATATTTTTCAAAAAGAATTCAGTATTCGTAAGGTATCATATTGGAGTGCTTTTAATCTTTTACTTCTGGCATGATTCCAAGTATTACACCACAGAAAATTGTGTCGCCATTAATATTCATACTCCTGTATCAAACTCGTACACTGCTGAAAATCTACATAGAGAGCTTCGAGAACTAATAGCTAGACTATTTGGTTTAGTTCAAGATGTTATATTTCAGATCACATTGGTAGTGTCCAATAAGGTTACGGCGCCTGCTTTTCATAATAATATATGAGTAGTAGTAATTTTATGTACTTTCTAAGATTATTAAGATACCACGGACAAATGGTGACGGAACATATCGTAAGGAAATCTGAACTTAAACGACCTTTTATCGTGGGTGCGTTTATTAATACAGTCAGACACAAAAAATGTATGGATCCTACAAAGAATTGTAGTCCAAAATGTAATTAATTTTATAAAAAAGAAAAGTGTATATCAACGTTTATTAAACTCAAACGTCAATAAATCATGATTATTGCTAAAGTATTTTGAACTTTGTTTTAAAAGAAAAAGGTTGTTGAAAGAATGTGGCGTCAAATTGCTTTTTCATTGCTCAGTTAGGTAGCCTTGTTTCAAAGTTAGGATAAATTATTCGCCTACATTAGGCAGCTAGCTGTTTTCTAACTTAAGTGTGTAGGCGATACCGCGTGTTTAGGAAAACTATAGTATAGCCGCTTGATCGGCGTAAAAAAAATGGGCACCTTACTTTGCCAGTTACTATGGACCGCGTACTGCGCATTCTGCCCGCTGTTACTAAAATTTTATTTATGGCTTGCTCGAGTGGTGCACTTCTCTATTTTAAAGGAAGTTTTTTTGTTCTCGAGGTGGAAAATTTCTATTTTGAATCTATAAGATAGTATTTTATTGTTTAAACGTGAGCAAACCACATGCCGAGTAACGGCAAATTGACGAAAATATCACTCCTCCAATATATGTATGTATAGATTAATAGCAAATAATTAAAAAAGCTTTGCATTTTTTTAAGTAACGAATACTTTTTTTTATCGGATGTCATAAAATTTGAAATTAGTTGATGATAGAGACCAGTTAAATTTTCTTTTTAAGTTGGTTTTTGGTCTCTGATAGATAGCAGTAGGGCAGTAGGTTTACTATTTCTTTCTTACATGGGACGAGTTGTAAAATATGTTACCAGCTAAACCAAAACTACTATCACTTTAGAAAATACGCTCCTACAATTTAAACCGTTAAATTAAAATATTTTTGTAAGGATCAAGAGTCATTTATAAGTAGTAAAAAATGGCAGGGTACTTCCCACCTTTCGATTTTTTAAGCAATCGAGGGTGGCGTGTGTTCAGTAGTCTATATCTACTACTGCCAATCATATGATAATGATTAGGATTTTATGAAGATGATATCGTGGTGGCCTAAAGGTTAAAGCGCCCGATTTTCATGAATGAAGGTGTGGGATTCGAAACCTAGCAAGAAGATACCAATGTAACTTTGAATCATTTTTATAGACACCACTGACATACGCAGAAGAAAAACATTCTAAGGATAGCTGGACTTATAATTTCTAAAAAAAATTATGAAATCAGTGAGAAAAAGCCTTTGTCTAGCAGTAGGCACTTTTATGCTGATGATGACATGTATGTATGATGAGGAAAAAAGAGAAACTACTTACTAGATCCACTAGGAACCCATTTGATTCCGATCCACCAGAAGCTGAACATAGTGGAGTGGTGGTACACGTGGAGGAAGGTCAGCTGTTCTTCTTTCTTTCTCAATATGAAGAAGAAAGTGTCGCAGAATTCCAGAAGTTTCGAGAAGTAATACCACCAGACTGCGTCTGCTATCTGCAAAACGAAAAATGATTTTCATTATATCCTTTAACAACAAACAAATTTCTACTATGACATGTGTCGGCAGCCACACGCATGCTATGAATAAGAGTCCCGTTATGACTTGAAACTAGTCGAGCTTTCCCCAGTTAATTCACGTGAGTAAGCCATTATTTACAATTAGTTTAGTCTACCTCACGATAGCTACTATACAAAAAAATTAACATTACTTTTTGATTTAATTAACATTCCTTTTTTAGCTAAACTTTAAAAGTTGCATTTTGTTCCTGATATTAGTTATTCTCTTAAATATGTTAATCATATATCAACTAGCTTCAGCCCGCGGCTGCGCCCACATGGTATGTATATTAATAAAAAGTAGCCTACGTCCTATTCCGGAGTGGATCCGAAGAGTAACAAACAACTAATAAACTTATCCATAATTCTCATATCCAACACTTACAGATTTCAATTGAGTTTACATTTGTTTAAATTGATCGATGAAAACACGTTACGGTAGAATTTTCTGGAACGAACATTTTACTCGAACACAAATCATATAGAGCGGTAGATTTAACACAAATTGAATAACACGATACATACGTGGATACAGGGATCTGATATACTGTGTGTTGAAAGAGGTATTTTTATCAAGAAAACTGTGTTACGTAAATTTATTACCAGAGACATTACGTTTCATGTTTACCACACTTGTTAACAAGGTATAATATTTACGAACATTGTAGAGAGTTTATCTTGTCCACCATATTGGACTATGTCATTGGTCAAATCGGGGCGGTCCATTCTAGGGCCGGGCCAAATGTAACGTAAGGGTTTACAAAAATATTTCAGTAGTTGCATGGAGTCTGGAATCACATCATCACAACATCTGCCTCTAAGGGCTACTAACCCAAGTGCTCTTTTCACTAAGGCGAATTGGCTATTTGAAACTTACAAATTCAATTTTTTCACGGTCTTTTCCTTTGCCGTATGTCACTGAAGTCAAAATAATTTAAGTAAGTATAAATCACTTTGAATTGTCGTGTCCAGGTTTCGTCCTCATTCTTAAGAAGGTACTACCACCCGACATCCACAATGTGCTTAGTGTATTTCAATAAGCTTACCCCTTTTAAAACACGACTGGTGAAAGGTGACCATAGATTTTATATGAGTTACTTACACTTGGGGTTAAAAGATGAGACAATATAAACAATACGGTGAATATCCACAGACGCAATATCATAGAAGTACTTCAAGCAATTGTGTTCGTACATCGATTAAAGATTATTAGGCCATATAATTTGGAAATGCTGTCTAGCAAATATAATGGAAAATCCGAGGTAATATTTTCTAGAAGGTCGGAAAATAGGATTCTAAGATCGTCCCTATTATAATAACTCATTGTTATCGTGCCTAACTGACCTGTTTTCGTAGTAAGCCATGAGCCAATTGTCAAAATGGTATAGTGATATTTTGACCTAAAACTTAACAATAGGTTTGTCTCTTAGCCTAATAACATGAATAGAGAAAAGTAGGGAAATCGTTTATAATATTCATCATAATGATATTATTTACGTGAAAGTTTCTACGACGGTCCATTGCAAATAAAAAAAATATGTTTAAGTCAGAGTAACCAACACCCATCCATGCATCATCTAATAAACATTGGACGGATGTTTTTTAAACTTTCAAATAAAAATTACTTAATGGATTTTGATTAATCTTAGCTTAAAACAAGAGCGGGAGAGCCGAGCTACAAATCGAATGTGTCGGCTCGACCGGAGGGATACAACGGAATCCACAGAAAACAAGTTTGAAACAACTACAGCATTGTGTTTCGCCGTATTAATAACGTTTCCGAAGGTCCAATCCTTTCTCTCTCCCATCCTTCAAAATCCCTAAATCTTTATCTCCAAAAGGCCGGCAACGCGCTCGTAACTCCTTTAGTGTTGCGGGTGTCCATGGGCGGTGCCGATGCTTACCATCAGGTTTCATCATTATTATAAGTGTTTGTAATGTGGTGTATTATGTGTTTTTTCTTATAATATATTTCTATACTCTAATTACTATACAAGTTTCGTTGTTTTTTTATGAAAGAGCGGCAGACTGATACCCCTGATAGTAAGTGATTAAAGATCTCGACTCTCGCAAAATCAAAGAAGGAAGTTGCAATGAGGCGTTTTAAAAATTTTGTACAGCTGCTTTAGTCTTACAGAGTCAAGAACTTTTTTGTTTTATTTAAGAAAGGAGCGTTATCTTACACTAATATTTTCCCCTGTGTCGAGAATGCATTTACAAACATACAATTTCACAAACACATCAGACACAGACCTGGAACATCAATTTGTGGATCATACAAAGAGTTGTTCTGTGCGGGAATTGAACTTGCGGCTGTTGCGCTGCAACCAGTTGCGCAGGCACCGCGCCAACCGTGCAGTCAAACTTTCAATACGAACAATCGCTTCTTATTTTAAATAAATTGTTTGAAGGTTATCTTTTACCAACTGATAAAATAAACAATGTTTAACATGTAAATGAAATCACAAACAATAAATATGTAAATATGTTGATTTATTTACAAGTACGTGATAGTGAAGTTCAGGGCTGTCAATTTCTATATTCATCAATTTAGAAAACAGAGTTGAATGAATGACTTTGAAAGAAATTTAAGATTTGTATTGTTGTGTTTTAACTGGTTTCGATTTTGATTTGATGGTTTTATCTTGGCATCAATAATAGTGATAGTGGCTTTAGATAAACGTGTATTTTTGAGTTGGGAAATCCTTCTATCCTTAAATCGTTCCTTCTCCTTCAGTTTGAGGCCCAAGAACCTTACCAAATACCAATGTCATTTTTCACGAATTATATATCCTTTCTGAGATTGTTCACACATCACTAATATATGGTGAAAGGAACCATGAAGAGTTTGACATCACCAATCCACCTCTTGAACCAGCGTGGTGATATAGTTCTAATTCCTTTTCCGTGTAAATAGAGACGCGTTTTGCTCAGCAGTAGGACCTTACAGGCTGGTGATGTTATATTGATACAGCTGTATAGGTAATACAGCGTACTAAGTAGTATATTATATATCTCATATGAATATTAATTATTACGCGTAGATAAGTTGATCATTTGACCATTAATAATCTAATATAAATAGATTTAATGTTATAATAGATAATTGAGAATTAACATAATCATACAATATAACTTAATCAATCGAATGATTCAATATGGATCAAATGCTTATCCCACTCAAATATAGAGATCAGCCGGGGTTGCGGGGTAAGCGCAATGAGGCACCGAGACCTCGGCACAGAGCAGGAGAAGGAACAGGGGGGTTTTTAGTCAGTAAGAGTCTGACACTCCCTCCTGCCCGGCCCTGGGCGGGAGAAGTCATTTGATGATATTCCCCTCACAAAAAAAAAAACTCAACTATAGATATAGTATATATTTAATAGGAGAAGACTTATCACCTGATCGGTAGCAGTTTGCGTCGTCAAAGAAGTGATAAGTGCCTTGCCGGTCTTTTGTGAGTTGTATACAGGATTACAGGATTCGAGGATCGTGGATATTTGGAGATTGAGGATGGGGGGAAGGAGCCGAAGGATTGGGTCTCCGGAAACCTTACACATACGGCGCAACATAGCACTAATGTTATTTCACGTCGTTATTCCGTACACCTAAGTATGGTATCTGTCTGGTCGAGCCGGCCTATTCGTGTTCACTCTCCCACACTTAAACAATCTAGACAATAAACTATATTATAGAAACTTACTTGCAACTCATCAGGATCATATTTCTGTCGACAAGGCTCACAGATATAGCTGTACCGTAATCTAAACGAAGCGGTCAATAACCTTATCGCTATATACGCATTTAAAGCGGCCATAGCCAGGTTATAAGGTACTAGGAGCCATGTTAATTGGAACGGTCTCCTGTTCTTCATGAGCTTAGGTCCGATCCAAACGATGAACAGGTACATTAAAGTGTAGAAGACCGTTGGTGCTGGTGAATCCACCAGAGGCCAGCCCTTGGTTCGATTATCTGTAACAAAAAGAATATTTTTTTACATATGTAATAACTTTCGTGAGAAAATTAAATTAAGTAATTGGCTTATTCGAGTAACTTCTTGGCAACATCATTTGACTAGTTCGTGGCTGATTGAAGTTAGTCGTCTTGTTTCGAGCTCTGATAACTGTTCATGAGTGTGAGCCCTAACGAGGCTTGTAATTTGTCGAGTTACCTCGTCAAACCGTTTCGTGTGTAACATATTTAATTACCAAAATATAGGCTAAATACATATTATTATTAAAAATTAAATTTAAAGATTTTATTAAGTTTTTAATAGTCTTCGGAAACGCTAGGCTTTGAGTTTAAGGTTTCAAAGGAACTTAGAGACCTTTGATTTTAATGTCGTGTCTTAGTAAGTATTAAACTTATTTTTGGCCTTTGTTAATTAATTTTGGTGATATTTTTAGTCCATTCATAGAACAAAGTCTTTGTAGGCTTCAAATGTTTTGAACTAGGTATAATTTTGTATAAAAGTGATTAAGAACAGTTTAGAAAGTTAGAAGTTTTGTTGGTTAATGACATCTTTTGATATTTACTACAATAGATTAATATGCCTCTGTTACTTTAGATTATAAACTGTTGTATATCATCTTTTGTTTTAGGGCGTATAAAATGTTTTGCAGGTACTTAATACATTGCATTTCTTCCTATCAAAATGTTTCTGAGGTTTGATAATGAAACAAAAGTAACTAATGGTCAAAATGGTGAGTCCAAAGACGGACAAAAACCGAAGAAAAGTTTGCCCACCTAAAAGTGCCGAACTCCCACATCTTCGTAGCATTTCCATTTGTTTGGTACAAACCCTGATTTATGATGAAACGGGAATCCATGGGTCCATTTATATCAGTGAGAGAATCCAAGTGAAATATCGCCTACATTCGGAAAATAGACGAAAGAAATATACACCTACACCGATGATAATGGTTTTTGACAAGAAAGTAGTAGATAATATGGGAAAAATTATTATTATCGCTTTGCACGAAATAAATGTCACTGTTATTATATTTCTGGTATATTGATTCTTATTTTATTTGTATGGAGACATGGTTTAAAGTTGTTTATATCATAATTATTTTAGTGTCAAAACAGGCTTCTTTATTCATAGTTTTTTAGGCTCTTTATAGGTTTTTTTATGAGTTGCTTGCTGTTTGTGGATTTTCTCTTACCTCGGATGAGGTTTGATTACTAAGTAACACGTTTCCTTAAGATGGATTGATGATTTCAAACTTATATTTAGAAATGTATTGCTACTTTATAACATACTATTTTTTAAATACTCATTTTCAGGTTTCTTAGCAATGTTTTCCTTCACCGAATAACAGTGGTGTTTAAATATTCTAAGAAAGAATGTACCTATAACTCGGAACGAGTCACAGTATAATTTTAGAAAGTGCATATAACACAGAAGTAGTCACATTGGTCCTTGTTAGGTTCGGAACCTTATTTTGACCCTCGTATACCTTCAATAGTTAATTTATTGTAAAATTTGTCAGAGAACACCAATTTTATTTCTTTTCATCCTTTAGTTGAGTCAGTGACAGATTCTTAGGTATTCTGTGATGAACTTGATAGATAGGCAGCGAATCGCATCTTAGGGACGATTATGAGGTACTTTCATATCCAATTCAATGTCCACTGAAACCTATTTTTCTAGTGTTTTTTTTTTTAAATCTGGTCTTGAAAATATATTGTTTTCTAAGCTCAAATTTAAGAGCATTTTCGTTATTTTTGTTTACATCTCAAAATATATCTTGTGTGTTTGATTTTAGTATGTTTTTATACTATCATTACTCACACAGTATTGAGTAATAGATCGAGGGTTTTATTAAAACTTTTTTGTGTCATTTATCTTTTTGCACGATTTGTGAACGAAGATTTATTAAAATTACTTTTTTGTTCATCTTGTACACTAGTACAAGATGAACAAAAAAGTAATTAGTAAGTAGAGTACTAGTACTAACTAGTACTCGTATATTTCAAAGTGTATAAGTGAATTATTTTTTGCTCACATTCGAAATCATTGAACTAATTAAATATTTTGTGAAAATTGTACTCTTATGGCACAGATCCATTCAGTTAAATACATAGGTTTTGTTTTAGTGTTTAAAATGTTTTTTGTTAGGTATTTACTGAATTGTCTTATATACGCGCTCTTTGTAGAGGCACAACATTTTTGACGCTTAACCACTACATTATAAAGTTTTATTTTAAATTGAAATATATTTTGTAAATAGACTTAGTAACATAGTAGCATTTCAACCTTTATATCGATGCAATAAGAACGTAAATAGAATCCCGGAAAAAGCGGAATCCAAATAGTTACATTTAATATTCTTACCTAAAACACAGGGGTTTCTATATTTAAGTTCCTGCCTTTTATTTACGGTCCAGGCGGTTGAATGTTGCCGGCATTATTCACAGAACGAGCCCATGTAATATGTATGTATGAGATGAGGTTATTTCTCTTCCACTTAGAACTTTTGTAGACGGGCAATTATTAGACAAAATTGACGGTGAGATTTATTATTTTATTTGAACTATATTAAGGTAAATAGAACAGATATATTTTTATGGCAAACGGGCAGACGGATTGTAAGAAATCGACACCGCTGAATACTCGCAGTACCAAAATAGTTACTAGAGCGTCGACGGCCTTTTTGGGTTATTAAGGATTTAAGGTTAGGAATCCCCAAGGGAAAAGAAAGCTTGGCCGTCCACGGTAAACCTGGCGTCGCACCGTACTGGCAGAAGCGACGAACATCGGTATGACGTGGAGTAAGGTGAAGCGTGAAGCTCAAGACAAATCGCGATGGAGAACTTCAGTGGACGCCCTCTGCCCCATCTAGGGGACACAGGATATTAAGTCAATTTGAGGATTAAGAACGGTGACTTACTCACTCACATAGCGGAACACAGCGTAAATGTTATTTTACGCCGGTATTCTGTAAAGCCGTGGTATCATTCTAGTCGAGTCGATCCATTCATACTGAAGCATAGATCTTCCATACTTGGCAACAATGCTTCAAACACCAGATATTTTTTTTTAAGTCGGCACACGTGCTCGGATTACCTGATGGTAAGCAATCAGGGCCGCTCATGGACACCCGCAATACAGAGGAGTTACGAGTACAATGACGACCTTTTGGGGATAAAGGATTTGGTGATTTTGAAATTGGGGGGAGGATGGATTGGGCCTCCGGTAACCTCACTCACACGGCGAAACACAACATAGATTTTTTTGTACACTGGTATTTGGTGAGGACGTTGTCCTTCTGAAGTATCTTTCCTATCGATTCATATCGAAGCATAATCTCCCATATTTGGCAACAATGCCTCAAACATCAGAAACGTGACTCGTCTACTTCAGACCTTAATTTAGTATTCAAACGGTATGAGGCTCTTAAGTTTGTAATCGACTTTTGTTTTTATGTATATATTTTTCGTTCCTATTACTAACATTTTTATGATAGGCAAGGCAGTGGCAAAATCACGTACATTATTTGAGTAATAATACTTTATGACAATTGAGGTTTACGAGTACATTCGTCACCTATGTATTTGAAAATGAGGTTAGTTTAAAAAATATGTTAAGTTTTTATTGTATGCATAAGTTTTTAATTACGTATAATGTTTGTACAAAAAAAATATTTATTAACATTTTTAACCACAAAATATATCTAAAAGTTTTATTCCATGTACATACTTATAATTATTTCGTAGTTTTTTAAAGATGTCTTGTGGCTATGAAAACAAAAACAGACTTAAGTGTGTGATCGCTCATTGTTACGATTTCCCTACCTATTAAATTATTCGCTGTTTGCCTTAGAATTGAGACGGACAACAATTTGTGAATCCCACAAAGAGTGGTTCCGTTCGGGGAAGAAACCCGCGATACGTTGAATGGCAGCCACTACATCAACTATGCAATCACTGGTTAATAGCTTAAGTAATAATAAGCTGTCTCTGAGTATGGCCTTTAAGTAAAGCTAATCTTAATGCTTACCTGACAACGATAATGTCCATAGATAGTAATCATACGTTTCCTTCAACACACTTTGTGTGGAGTTTATTAAAATATCCGCCATCTTTTCGAATGTTATCTGTAACAAAAAAATAATAAACCGTTAATACAATGTTACAAAAACAACAATGTAAGAGTTTTCTGGCATAATGTGGAAAATGATCGATCGATCTTCATGGAACGCAATCGGCGTCGCCCATGGACACCCGCAGTACTAATAAAGTTTAGAGAGAAGTTCTTTGCCGGATTTTAGGGTATTAAGTTGTCAGAATGTTGATATTGAAAAATGTATCTTATAAACATATTGTTAATAAACAATTAAGTAATTGTATTTATCGATTAGTACAAGTTTTGGAATGGTAGCATATTATGATTATCATTTAATTTTATTGTGTCACGTATCGAGGACCTAATTTAACAAACAAGTTAAAAATGTAGTGTCATTCGATCAAAATTTTATACACTAAACTTTGATTATTTTTTACTTTTAATCAATCATAAAAGAAACACAAATAATTTTAATAATTATGAGTTTCAATAAATAGTACTTAATAATACTTTTTGCTTACAATTATAGCAAATGTTTGCTAAGCTAAGCAAAAAACACGCTATTAATATGCTGATAATATAAGGCAGAAATCGCCTTATAAACATTCTCATTTTTAATATTTCTATAACACGAAATGAAGTTGCATTCATATTAATATTTTGGGTAAAGTTTTAATTAAGAACCGACCTATGATCGTATTATGCAGACCTACCTAACTACCCTTATAATATCTATAAGAAATAATCCGATTAGTATACTTATCACAGACATAGTGAATTTTCATTACAAAAAATATTAGCTATCTGAACTCGTATGAACTTTAGTATTAACAAAATTTTGTTCGAGAAAATTTCTTTTCGTCCAAAATGTGCCGATAAAGCGATAGATACCAACTGTTGCAGGGCTTGTAAGGTTCTTATTGAAAATTGTATAAATTTAAAACAATATTACAATAATATCTATACTGTATTATTGTGTTTTGTTTTTTTGTTTGTGTATTATAAATTTATAGATCTGGGATGCTAGGAGAAATTTAGCTGATTGTTTTTTATTACTTTTAAGGAAAACTGTAAAACTGTAATTATAGTAGATATTTGCTCATCGTGTTATGTAGGACATTATTTATTTAATTTAATTATTATTTTTAGTGTTAAGTAAACAGTGACAACATAAAGCTTTTTTTTATTTTCTTAAGAAAAGCCTTTTAAGAAGGAGTACGCTCGTTTCTTGAAGGTTTGAATGTCGTATCGGTTCGGGAGTACCGCCGCCGGAAGACCATCCCAAAGCTTTGCTGTGCGGGGCAGAAAGTTACGCTGTTAATAATATGTATTGATTTCAGAAACAATATTAATTGTTTTAGTATTTTATTTCGAAGATCAACATAGGTATTTTAAGGTATTCTAATAAACATATTCAATATGAAATACACCACGTGAATTAACTATCAAAACATAAATCACATATCTAGATCTAGATAAGAATAGGTAAACAATATAAATATCAGTTTTTTAGATTTGATTTATTCAATTCAATTGATAGATAATGAATTTAGTTGTCAAGAAATTACATTTATTGTAATTGAATTTATTAGACGCATAGAATATTAATATAAGTTTACTCACACTAATTTGATAATAGTTTAGCTTTACGCCTATTTTGGGTCAATTTGACAATTACCTTATTTATATTGTGACTTAACACTTATTTTTTCTTAAGTGGGAAGATCATCCATATACTTTGCCCGCCTTGACCGGAGCAAGAAGGAGTATCACTCTCTTACTGACTAAAAAACAACCCAGTTCCCTCTTCTTCTCCAGACCAGGGCCGCAGAACATACTTAACAGGGAAACAAAAAAAAAAACGTAAAAAAAACTAATAATATTAAAGTCATTGTCTGCACGAATGGCGCGGTGGCTGGGCAACTGGCTGCCGTGCAACGTGTCGCGGGTTCGATTACCGCACAGAACAACACAAGTTTGTGTGATCTACAAATTGTTGTTTCGGGTCTGGGTGTGATGTGCATGTGAAATTGAAGAAAATTGTATGTAGTCACACAGGAGAAAATACTAGGGCGGGACAACGTTTTTTCTTAAAAAGAAAATGTGCTTCAAAACATTACTTACAACTTTTTGTCCCAAAGGTAACTTATTAATAATTTTAGACTAACTCAAGAATCCAGCCGAATATTTTTTTCCCAACTTTGCGTTCACTCAAAAAATGTGGCATTTGAGTTCTACATGATCACGTAACGTGAGTCAAAAAACAATTAAGTACAAAAGATATTTTTTCATTACCAAATTTTTCTTCCTTTAAAGGGCAATTTTTTAATAACGAGCTTAAAGAATGCCTTCATATTAACCTCGGATATTGCTCGATACTCTTATGTAGCCGAATATGAAATTCCCAAATCTTTAAACTTGTCTAAAGTATCATATAAGGTACCTTTATGAGCAGAGTTATTATTTTCGTTCAAGCAGAATGTTTGCCGCTAAAATGATTTAGGAGCACTTATTTTTAACAAAAAATATCCATTATATGAGCTTGAAAACTTCATAAACTGAATAGAAGTTACTTGAATAAAAAATATTTATGATATTATAATGTGAGTTGCTATCTTAATTTTTGAATTATAATACCTACTTCGTGAATACTTGTATAGATGCAATCCAGACCGAAAAGGCCTTTATATTTTATTTTGTGCTACTTCATTATGGGAGTTCTTTATATATAAAAATGGATCGCAAAATGTGTTGGTAAGTGCATAACTCAATAACAACTGGTCCAATTTAGTTAATTCTTATTTTGTTGTATTTACTATGGTCAGGAAAAGGTTCTTATCAAAGAAAATATTAGTAAAGTATAAGGGAAAATTGGGAAAAACTGACCCTTTTATTGTTAGGATAGTAAGACCCGTGCAAAGCGGGGGCGGGCAGCTAGTTCTTAATACAAATGAGGAATATAGGTATTATGCTTGGTGTGCCATTTAATACTATGTAAGAGTTCGTGGTCAGCCTCTCTCTCTCCCTCTTATCAAACTACTTTCGGTGTCAGTCATTTGTTTTGATTGTGAACGGCACCAAAAAGGGTTGCCACTGCAGACAATGAATGTTCGGAATCGATCTAGCCGTTCAAGCGTGGTGCCATGGATTTAAATGATGATTGCTAAAATCAAAATCGAAGTCGAAATCATTTATAACCATAATTAAATAGGTGCTTTTGCAACGTCGAAATAGAATAGTACCTTGTCTGTCGGTCAGTTTGTCAGTGAAGCTTGATATTCCTTCAAAATTGTGAATGACCTAAGGATTTTTTTTAAATTATAAATATTATGTTCATATTTAATAAGGTAAGTACCTAATTGTAGTGATGTTGTACCTAACATATTAATTGATTTATTGTTGAATAAATACTAAACTTGTTAAATAAGTACGTAGTTAGGTTTTCAAAAAAATAAAATGCCTTATATACTTTTATGTTCTTACACAGTCGACAGTTTTTAATAACATTTCTTGTACCGTTGGAAAAGGGAATTTCTTTAATATTCAGCAGGTAAATGACCGAAACCTTAGAAACATTCTTAGAACCAGGTAGTGAATGAACTTTTTTCCGCATTATAAAAAACGACATTGAAGGCCAATAAGAATACTACATTTCTTTTTTGAATTCATTTGTAAATAGTCTATACTCACGACTTCGTTCGCGTAAAATTTGATTATCATTGTCGGCAGAAATTATAATAAATTAAATAATATATCTAAAATGAAAATTGTCTAGGTAACTCCTTATTACATCAGCTACTTACCAATTAAATTCCAGTCAAAATCATATATTATAGATAATTAGCCGGCCACAAACAAAAATACATTTGTGTTGTTGTGTTTTTTTTGTGTATGTTCTTACCTACATATTTGTGTATACCTACATATAAATTAGTTACTTCAACATTACGGCTTGTGTGATAAGACCACCAATTGTAATCACATCATTATTTTATTGTATCCAACGTATTACTACTGAGTGGTTGGTATGCAGTAAAGTATATAATAATATAAATAAATAAAATAATTAATTATTACAACCAGACACTCCAAATTTATGTATTTGTAAGTGTAGATGTATACTAGTAGAGGTATAGACAAGTATAGAAGTATATATTATTCGATACATTTTTTCGTAAATAATTTAAAAGTCTTCAAAGGAAAAGTCTCTAGCTTTTTACGTAACTTTCTCACTTGATTTGGTCTGTGTGGGTTGAAGAAAAACCCACATTTCACGTAAAGTAATGTTTTAGAATAACAAAGAAAGATTTTTTTTCAACTAAGCCAATATTGTTTTATGTTCCGCCATTTCTGAGATGGTAAATTTCGGTGACTGTTGCGATGTTAAAAGTTTATTATAATTAAGCCACGTTGTGTTTTATTTTGAATTAAATTCAAATATCTGTTTTCTGTAGATAATGATTCACTTATGTAATCTTTAGATGATCTTTAGATCTTTTTTAATTTGGTTATAAAGCAATTTCTGATGCAAAGAGCTAATAGACCACTGTATATGAGGCATAACAGGGCCAATTAATAATTATTAAGGCAGGGTTACGGGGCAAGCTCAAAAAGGTACGAGGTTTTTTGTCAGTAAGAGTTCCAGACAGTTCCTTTCGGTCCATCCTGGGCAAGAGAAGTTATTTGCTGATTTTCCCCGAACAACAAAAAGCTAATCACTAATAACGTCGATCAATAATCGAAAACACAAGATGCAAAGACCTTATCTTATCTTTTCTGGACTGTGCAACTACAATTACTTTAAAGATAAATTGCATCCAAAATTTAAACTTTTGTGTATGTATTATGTATGTAACAAAATTAAATGGTCATGTCACATTTGATAAACAGATGCGCCGATCATTTTAAGCCAGTGACGTACAGACCGGCTATAAAATTATTATTGTGTTCTGATGGAACTGTGTATCATGTCAACCAGTTTTTTTATGTGGGCTGTCGAAGTTTTGAATGAATTTTTGTAGTGAAAATGTTTG